TATATATATATAGAGAGAGAGAGAGAGAGAGAGAGAGAGAGAGAGATGGTATGTTTCGGTGCATTTTGAACCTAAAACCGCACCGCATAATGCTACTCTACTCCTAAACTATTCATGCATCCATCTATGTCCCTGACAAGACTTGAACCCTCGACGTCAAGGAGAGAGAACACCTGATACCGTTGGACTACAAGTCATTTGGTTCGCATAATTTGGTTTAAACAATCCTCATTTTTGTGATTATGAGTTCCTTTTGATTTGATTTGATCTAATTTATTTTTTTGAATTGGATAATATTGACCCTCTTATTAAGATTGTTATAAAAACACTTTTTTTATTGGAAAAGGAATTCCCCTAAGGAGGATTCTGGGTCAGGTTTCACGCACCGACTAATCCTGTGGTGCAAGCATGACATGCCTTGGAGTCACTGCAGAAGAACCTTCATGGCCACAGACGCTTAGTAGTATCAGGATTTGAATACGAAAAACTTTAAGCCTGTATAAAATGAATTTTTTATTTTGTCTTTTTTTTTCCTGATATTATAATTTTTTCGATGATTAATTAAATAGGCTTTGGCTCCAAAACCACCCCATCCCTCTTCTTCGGTCATCTAATCGGAAAGTGGCACTATTGTTCTTGAGCGACCCAAATTGGTAAGAAGAGAATGTGAATCTCTTTTTCATTTACTTTAGCATAAATAGTAGATATTCACAACTTATAATTATGTTTTGTGGATTTGGGGTGTTATCGATTTCAAACAACGAGTTGATTTTTTTTTTTTTTTTTTGACTTTTAACAAAAAAAATATTAGAAAATCGTGGTTTATCTTTTTTCTTGATTTTATTAGAGTGGACGGAGTCGTGGTTTTTTTGGCACTAGAGAGGGTTGGTACTGACGGTACCACCATTCTATGATATGACAAATTACAACCCACAAGAAGTCAAGAAGTAGCCCTTAAACGACTATATTTTCAAAAAATAACTTTTTACTTATATAAATCATCTCAACCACTTCAAAAATCGCATCGATCTTCTACACTCTCTAATTTCATTTTAACTTTCTCCAATTTCATTCAAACCCTCTCCAATTCCATTCCAACTTTTTTCTCTCTAGTTTCAAATGGATTCGATCCATGTTAAATCCAAAAAATATGGGTTATATCCAAAAAGAAACCGTCGGGACAAAAGCGGTTCGCAAGATTACCCAATATAATCCCGAAACTCATATCCTAAATTATCCCCGGTACCTATAATATCAACACAAACATTAACAAATGTCCATGTAGAAAGAAATGATGATTTGAAAAAGATTTGCACTTCTTTCTTTATGCGCATGATCATTTGATAGGAGGTATGTTGAGTGCACTACAGTGCTCGCTCGCAAACAGAAACTAACACAGATTCATGGCATGAGTATGAAGGTTGTAGAATTAGTTTAGCAATTCAATTATCGTTTAAACATTTCAATTATTGTTTTTAGGTTTTAACTATTCGTTTGTAGTAGTGTGTGTTTTTAATAAAAAAAAAATTAATTTAGTTTTATTTATATAATTTTAAGTTAGTAATGTTTTAATATTCATTTTTAAACAAAATTTGTGCGAGTTTGAAGTGTTGAATTTCCTATGCTGTGGGTTTTGTTGTGAATTGGGAGGGTTGAAAAAAAAAAAAGTTGATCCAAGGACTAACAAATAGGTTGAGAGGGTTGAAGGAGAATGATCCTTGCATCCTTTAAAAAAAATGAAATTATTAGCAAGAAATTAATATAAATATAAAAAATCAACTTTGCATTTTGTGAATTACTTATATTATCTTTCCAAAAACACGTTCGTTTGATAAACACCGACACGTATCCCTAAACAAATAAATCCTAAAACAAACTATTTTTATTGATAATATAACAGTTTCATTATTATGTATACCGTAATAAATTGAATATCTGTTCGATATTTGCAGAATAAAATAGCAATTTATGGATAAACAAACGGAAAATAAGTTAACAAAAAAAACTTTAAACACAATTAAAATGGCATCCTCGCAATAACACATACCCATATATATGTCTTCCAATA